AAATCAATGAAAACGACACGCCTCGCCGTTTGCAATGTAATAATGATAAAGTTTGACGATTGACCGCGCGTTTGGGAAACTGAGAATGACGCCCAAGAAGGCTTCATGACCGCCATTTTTGGCTTCACTTTTGGATTGCGTAATTCCTTTAAGTTAGCCTTCCATGTTATACAGTTCAGTGCTTTGGATTCCGCTATGTTCTCCCGGGTCCCGGGTGTAATTCCTAATCTCCGGGCGGAATTAGTATCCTCGCACGGTGTCCGCACCGGCTCGGGGAAAACTACAGTTTCTTATATATTCCGATTTTGGGGTAAATTTGTGCTTGTTTCATATTGTATTTTTAAGCAATATACAGGGTGTATCAGAAAAAACTAGAAGATTTTAAAATGTTCAGAAAACTATCATTTTATCAAGATACCTCAAAAATATATTTACGTCTAAGTATTTTAGCATCTTCTGGCTTATCTAACAGTAAAAACTAGCATAAAAATTAACCTCGAAAAGCGGGAGAACGGTTTGTAAAAGCCTCATTTTTAACCGCTTGTGCAAAGAAAATGAGACGTTGAAAATCCAAGTTCAGTTAAGGAGGTGAAAGTTTGGAATTTTTTTTGCAATGTATCGCAATTTCAAAAAATTTGATAAACATTAGGTCCACCGCGAAACGTTTCAAAATTGAATTTTTTTTCCCCGTTTACTCCGCTCTCTCGTAACTTTTTACACGAAAGAATGATTACATGCATGAGTGATAGTTGGAATGACGTAATTACCAGCACTCTTTGTTAAATGAAAACAATAAAACAAGAGTATTCATTGTTTGTTATGTTTAAGTACGTAATTCCAACTATCACCCATGCATGTAATCATTCTTGCATGTAAAAAGTTACGAGAGAGCGGAGTAAACGGGAAAAAAATCCAATTTTGAAACGTTTTGCGGCGGACCTAATGTTTATCAAATTTTTTGAAATTGCGATACATTGCACAAAAGATTCCAAACTTTCACCTCTTTAACTGAACTTGGATTTTCAACGTCTCATTTTCTTTGCACAAGCGGTTAAAAATGAGGCTTTTACAAACCGTTCTCCCGCTTTTCGAGGTTAATTTTTATGCTAGTTTTTACTGTTAGATAAGCCAGAAGATGCTAAAATACTTAGACCTAAATATATTTTTGAGATATCTTGATAAAATTATAGTTTTCTGAACATTTTAAAATCTTCTAGTTTTTTCTGATACACCCTGTATTAGAGTACTTACAACTAATAAACTGACGCGAATGAGTAATCAGTAAAGAGAAATTTTCATCACACAAAATCTGAACGTGTCTCAAGACACATTAGGCACCCCTTGGATCCGCCCTTAATTGACGAATATTTAGTTTGAGATGTATGTTGAGCATGCAATTATTGAAAAATATAATATCTGCTGTTATTGGTGCTTTAAAAAAATAGGAAAAAGATTTATACTTATTGTATTAATATTTAAACACGGATTTTTATCAACAGTTGTACCGAATCGTTCGATATATACATGCACTATATTTTTGTACCTCAACAATCACACTTTACAAATTCTCTCCAAATTCTGAATTAATCTTTTTGCTCTCTCCCTACGCCCGAATTAATAACAGAATATGAAATTACTATTTATGTCTTTCTATAAATACAACGGATTCCATTTGACTGCAAAACAACAAGCGTGTTGGGTCGTTTGATATATGACATTTGAAATGTCACATGCACTGTTTCCAAGGAATGGGCGGAAAGTTCCATTTGAACAATGACGTAATTGCAGTGTTGTTGAAAGAAAAAAAGTGCTTGTGTTAAAAGAAAGTGCTTTCCCATGACTTTAGGATGCCCTTTCGTATGACTTTCCACATTTTAAAATATCGCAAGCGTTTCGAATATGTTTACATGCAAAAATGCGCGCCAAAACCGTGTGACATCTCAAAATTCAAACGTCATATTCTAAACGACCATTGCGAATGCATTGCCAATGCTTGTTATTTTGCAGTCGGAGCTGTTCGTACACAGTCACGCCTGCTTTATGTTTGGAAAACCTGCATCATTTGGTTTGTTTTTAATATGAAATTTTAGTTGTTGAACTGAGCTCTCTTTTCAGCGCCTGTTTTGGACGCCTGTTAGGATATTGTTACAGCGGTAACAATATTTATGGTTTGCCCTGTGGTCGTCAAACATTGGCGTAACTGCTGTGTGACATACTATTTTTAAGCTAGCCCTAAAAGACTGGGGATGTATTATAAAGCAAAGAACCTATCAAATACGCTACAATTCAGTGCAATTTGATCGAATTGGAAAGCTTTGTTTCACACAACCTCGTACCCAGGGTCTTTTACAAACGTAGGTAAAAGACCCTGGGTACGAGGTTGTGTTTCACACCCTTTCAGTGAATTCAATCCTATAGGGTATATACGATAATTTAGCATCAAATGTGGTTCAACAACTGCCTAAAATAGACAAAATACTTCTCGACGTTTCGACCTGAGGGCCTTCGTCACGAGAGTTAGTATGATATTAAAGTTAGTATCATGCATTGAAAACGCTGCCACGCCGCCCCTGGTTATAATTATTGGGACGTATATACGATAATGTTAAAGTGGAAAACAGACATAGCTTAGGTCCCGTCCACACGATGCCGTAAGAATTAATTTGAAAGCATTTTTTTTGGCAACGCGCGCGAATTTTCAACGTTTTTTATTTCCCAAAAGCAAATAAATTTTAACCTATCTTAATATTCGTGTACAGGGTGAGTCAAAAAAAACTGACACCTTTGAAATTCAAATTAGCTGCAATATGTCTGTAATCGGCTGTAATGTGACAGAAGTTGCCTAAAATATCTCACGGGTATACGAAGCAATTCAAATAAGTGAACCCATTAATTAACTTGAACATAAAGTTTGTTCCCTTTGGGAGTTAAAATGCATTCTAAGCTCTGTAATAAAAAAGAACGTTGATTTAGTTCAATTGGTTTAAACACTTTCGCAATAATTAACCACGTCTTGTTGATTGTACACAATGGGAATTGTCAAATTCCAGCCATAAGTTTGCGGCTAATTTGAATTTCAAAGGTGTCAGTTTTTTTTTACTCACCCTGTATATTAGTTAATGATCTGGATAATACATTCTGACTGCTAAAGTCTAGTTAAATGTATTTATTATTAAATAATAAAGGAAGTTAATGTTATACGGGTCTTCGTATCGTAGTGTCTCGGGTCTTAGGACGCTTGTCCGGTCGGCTACTTGCCCCCTCCGGTGAGTATAAATATGAGCCCAGTTTGCCTGATCGAGTTGTTAGTTGCTTGCGTGACCCATCCCTCCCGTTTCCCTAACGACTTCACGCGATGTTGTGAACTCTACGGGAGAAGCGTCTTATTAATCTCGCTGGGGGTTTTTTTTGTTAGTTTGTTTTGCAGGATTAAGCACAGTTCTTTTCACACCCGTTTTGGTCGTGGAATTGGTGTTTGGGGTAAAGGTAAATTCATTAATGATCGCCACATTTACTGGTATTTTTTTGTGTGTGTGTGTACTTTGATGTTCGTATCGTTTATTCCAGGGTTTCACTTCAGTGACTCACGTGTGACAGTTGATCACGGGATGGAGGAGGTACCGTTAAAATAGCATGGTTCGTTGAGTTATTATCTGCGCCGAAAACAGCAAACTCAAAAGAAACACCGTTTCACCCCTAGCCCGATCGTTTCGCTCGGATACCGTCTCCATCCCTACTGATCGGCAGTGGGCAAAAATATAGTGTAAGTGCTGGTGTGCTATCGTACTGATGTGAGCCTTAGGATCCGTAAGAACGTTAAGAGTCGTGTATTTCTGTATCGTTCATTATTATATGAACGCAATCAAGTTTATGTTATTATTTGTTAAGGCGAGATTTCGCCTGCAAATTTGCCGAAAATTTCTCTCGTTATAGAATTATATAACCGAAAACTTTTGCCAATATGAGCAGGCCCTATATATATAAGGCATTCACTATAGCGCAGATTCGCATGGTCACCATATCAAAACTATATGCACATGTCAATTGCAAAGAGCGCGTATTACCTTCAAAAGTATAATAACATGATTGCTTTACTATGATCTGCTAAATGAAAAAGTTCTGGGGACAAGAGATACCGCAAGACAACTTAAAAATTAAAATGATGTCGTTACCATGTGGATCTGGTATACAGGGTGTATCAAAAAAAACGCAACCACTTAATATTCATGAATATCCTCTTTGTTCTACAACACAAAAGACGTTTGGCCCCTGGAATGCGAGAAAGCTTGTAATCATATTCTAGCGGCACAATCGTTGGTAAACAAAGTCGGGTGCGTAAACCAACGAGCTGAATTGAAAGTATTTAACGAGTAAAATTTTATTTACAATTTATCTTACAAGGTCGACAGTTAACATTCAAGTTATCATGCACGACAATAAAAACTCGTTGTTCGGTTGTTAGCTACACCATTATTAGTTTAGCTGATTTGACCATTAGCAGTTGAACTGTACGATTAGAAGCCATTTTAAAATCCCAGGGGCATAAAATCTATTGAGCTTATAAACAATATGAATTTTAGAATATTAAGTGGTTGCGTTTTTTTTGATACACCCTGTAGTGTAAATCGGGACTTATACACCTTTCACCTTTGAAATTCAAATTAGCCGCTTTAATGTGACAGAATGGGTATACGAAGCATAGTATATTAATAAACCTAAAACATAAAGTTTGTTCCCATTGGGAGTTAAAATGCATTCTAAGCTCTTTAAATACAAAAGAACAGTTTTATCAAATCGTTTTTGTTGATTGTACATGGGAATTGTCATAATCCAGCCATAAGTTCGCAGCTAATTTGAATTTCAAAGGTGTCAGTTTTTTTACTCACCCTGTATAATCTTATAATATATAATAACACGCACGGGTCATTCCGCACATATTTTTAACCATATATGGTGATTGATCTTTTACCCAAATCAGGACCAAATCAATAATCGGTAAGAACAGGAAAATATGGTTCATGAGGGCTTTATGACATATGACTGCACTTTAGCTGTGTGCTGTGAATATAGCCAAAGTTTTCCATGGTGCGGCATGCGAAATCACTGAATCTTATTCAGCCAATAACTGTATGTACCCGACAGGATGCTACGTCGTAACCTTTTTGTCAACGAATATGCCTCATATGTCGCGGAATCTCATGATGACATATTATTCTACAATATGTTGTTGTGCTTGTAGTTGGCGGCTGTATGTTGTCTGCATTATCCTTGAAAACTGTATCTGAAAGTGTGAGTAGATTTCTTACATGGTGTTTGGGTAACGTGCGAAATATCTTAGAAGTTGCATGTTAAGTACATGCATGTATTACTAATTTCACAGACCAAGCATAAGGCTACTTTATAATCTACTTAAACAGTAGAACGATAAGCCAGCTATATAGTCAATTCATGTTTCAGATAGGTTTGCAGCTCATCAAAAATTATGATACGATTATATTTATTGGTCACGAGGATAGAGCGATTTCGCTTGGAACCAGGATGCCTTCTGTATCCCTATGGCGACATAGCTCATGCGAGCAGTTACGGACAGATCTGGAAGCGGTATGACAAGGCGATCTCGACGGCTATTGTCTTAATGTACATCACTACATGTACTTATTTTATTGATGAAGAATGAAAAATTATATTCTAGGAGTAGGTGAATCCTTCGTGTAGTTATAGCCATAAGTTATAGATGCTCCATATCTTTGGCTCCAGGGCCAATCTCTACGGGAGTAGCGTATCTTGAAACTGCTGCTGACTGCATTAATGTTAAAATAGAGACGAGCTACTTGGCACTTGAATCACAACGGGTGACCAAATGGTTTACCTACATTCTTGACCCTAACCCAGCCTCGTACTCAGGCGCTTTATTGCAAAACAGAAAGACTGCATTCAGCGTAATATAGAGATCTGTGCATTATGCTAAGATGTGCGAGCGCGCAGGGGTGCTTGGGGAGGACGCGACGTGGCAGGCCCACCATTGAGCGATATTTCGTTGCATGTTAATTCAGTCATGCAATTACGCATTTCAAACTTTCAATTTGGCCTTGAGTCAATAAACTTTTTTTTTTCACTCTGTGAATTGTGTTCAGAAACTGTCTATATTTTGGCTGCTTTTCCTGGTAACGTGGGGTTCTCTTTTCAAGCTTTTTCCTGTATATGAAAAGTTTGGTTTGGGTTTTTGTGCAGTAACGCTAACAACCGCACTCACTTCCACCGCAGTGAATTTGACTGAAAATTAAAAATAACACTGAGCATTTAACTTTTATTATTGAAAATTCTTTCGAAATACGGAAAAAAAAGATGAAAAAAATTCAGTTTGACTGTGTACGTGCAGGTAAAAGGACAGCAGTGGCCTCCAACAATAGCTCCTTCAATTTCCTTTATCTTCGGCTTCACATTTTGATTAGCTAAATGAGTGAAGTTCCTACACCAAGTATACTCACTCCAGGTTTAAGCTTATATGCAGTTACGTCTAACAATTTCAGAACACGCAAGATGACTTCAATGTTTGAAACACGTCACCCAAAGGACAACGCAAATTTCATATCAAAAATCATACTTTGGTGGATTTTCCCACTGTTATTTAAAGGCATCCGTAATCCACTAGAACACAAAGACCTTCACGCCATCAGAGAGGTGGAAAGATCGTGTCAGCGGACTTGCCGGTTGGAAGAAATATGGCGACAAGAAGTGAAATCCGCTCGAAGCTTGGGCCGGAAACCCAAACTCTGGAGAGCGATGTTTAGATATTTTACTTTCCTGGAGTATTGGAATTTTGTGCCCGTCGCGTCCGCCTATCTCCTGGGCGACAATATAACATGGTATTCGACAATCAGCCTTTTGCACAAGCTTACTAGTTTTAATGGGAACGCTTCTCGTCTCGATTGTTTCGTTTACGTCTACGGAATTGCTTTGGGATCTGTGATTAAACTGTTTGGTCAAAATCATTTGCATCTACACGGTGCTGTTTTAGGTGTGCGGGCAAGAGCAGCTATCTTAGGTTTACTGTATAAAAAGGTAAGGCTGCGTAAAGATTAAAATGAAAAAAAGCTTATCCTAGATAGAACAAACCTATGCTTATCAAAAACTTTATCTTATGCCTTTGATGGCTTTCTCGTTGGTTCCAAGCAAGTAAGCTTTTTCCGACATTACCGGCTGCCGACATCGAAACTTATTTTCTGACGATTTCGTGACGTTTGATGGCAACAAAAGTTGTTCGGCAAAACTCATAATAAAGGCCTCCCTCAGTGCATAAATCCTCGACACACGCCTCCGCAAGTATTTTTGTTATAAAATTTGAACTTCAAACATTGAATATAAACTCTCACGAGTAAAAATTATGACCCTGTTTTAATTTCGCTCAATCGTTTAACATTTACCTTTTGTAGGTTCTGCGGCTCAGTAAAATATCTCTGGACAGCGGTCATGTGATGGAGTTAGTGTGCAATGACTCTCAGCGAATAATATTCTGCAGCGCTGAATGGTTCATTCCGTATGCGATCAAACATGCTCTGTGGTGCACGTGCCTCGTGCTATGGTTATTGCACTTCATCGGCTGGCAAATTATTCCAGGTGCCGTGTTCCTATTGGCTCTCGGTATTTCGCGCTTATTTCTGAATACATTCGACTATAAATTACGTAAGGGTGCCTCGCAAATGTCCGACGAACGTTTGGGGGTCATACGGGAAACGCTGACCGCAATGGCCTCTGTGAAACTGAACTGTTGGGATGCGATATACGAAAATAAGATTCAGAAGACTCGATGGTAAGTAAAAGGAATTAGGTTCATAATTGCGTCAAACGCAGAAAGTCTGATGTTACACGAAGTCTGATTGGCTCGATAGTTTTTTGGAGCCAATTAAATTTCGCGTAACATCAGACTTTCCGCGTTTGACGTCATTATAAGAAAGGTCTATTATAGATGCAGCCGCGAGAGCAAAGGCAGATTGGCAACTATCATATGCCAGTGTAAACTGACTCTTTTTTACCCTTTATATATCTTATTATTTTTAATGGTTGAAAGGGAACCATTAACAAACGTTTGTTGATTTCGGATTTTGAACCAATCATATTCTACCCCAGTAATTCCATAATGTTTCAGTTGCATGCATAAGCAGAATCTCTTGATCAATAGAATGAAATGTTTTGCGAATATATCTAAAAACACAACTCAAGCCAATTTCCTTACGTTCCTTTTTTCAAACCAATTATCACACATTTGAATTAGAGCAGGTAAAGTGGAATAACCCGAGCGGAAACCAATTTGAAATTTCGAAGAACTTCTAAGACATTACTTAATATTTGCAATATAGATATTGGTCTATAATTTCCTAGATTTAGACGACTCCCTCCTTATAAACTGGATTTACTTGTGCTTTTTTCCAGTCGTCAATAAATATCCCAATAGAAAGTGATAGATTTAATATGTATGTTAACGAGGAGGCTGTGATATTTGCTGCATTTTTTTAAAGATTTTGCTAGGTATCCAGGTCTGTACTGGATATTGTTATTACTATAATAGTCATACCAGCACTTTCCTCCCCCTATAGGCAAGAGATAAAGTACAAAGCCAAGCGGTGGATCGTAATGTTGACATGCTACTCTTTTATTTCTTGTGGACAACATCTTGGTACGATCATAACCGTCTTAGTTCTGGTGCTCACAAAAATGCCCGATATCCCGTACCTGAATTTCTTTGCAATGATTGCACTATTTCGTGAACTAAGTGAAAAGTTATGCCTGTGTTTGCCTACATCAATACGTTATATTACTGACGTCAGAACCGCCTTACAACGAATGGAATCATTTCTTCAACAAAATGATCACTTGAATCTTGAGCCCGATATGAACAGCTCGCTAGGATTAAGTTTTGGCTTTGGAAGAGTTTTGAATGAAGCAAGTTTAAAAGTAGATGCTCTTGCGGCGAAAACATCCGAGTTTCCTATTGAAAGGGAACAAAGAGCACCCCTAAAAAGAAAAGAACCATTTTCACAGAGAGCCAGTAAGTCACCATATCTTAGTTTACGCAATGTAACCTCAAAATTACCCAAGCAAGCCACACACCTCTTCTTAGAAACCAACAACACGGCAATTTTGAATGACGTCACATTTGAAGTAGCCACTCCAGGTTTGGTGTTGGTTTGCGGTCCAGTGGGCAGCGGTAAATCATCGCTATTAGAAACCGTTCTGGATGGGGAGCTCCTTGTAACAAAAGGCGTCGTGAGGCACTCGGGATCTCTCGCCTATGTTTCGGAAACGCCATGGGTATTTCCTGGGACTATTCGTGAGAACATATTATTTGGTTTACCCTACGAAGAAAACAGGTATACGGAAACATTGAGAGCTTGTCAATTGGAAAAAGATTTGAAAACATTACCAATGCAGGATTTAGCTGTTATTGGAGAACACGGTGCGACGGTGAGCGGCGGACAGCGGACACGGATTGCTTTGGCACGCGCCGTGTACTCGCAGGCTGATATATATTTACTGGACGACCCGTTAAGTTCGTTGGATGCAAAAGTAGCGGAAAATATTTTTCGGCAAGTCAATTACTATTCTAATTAGTCAAGCACTATTTTAAAACTAAGCTAATTTCTTATATAAGGCGATTTCCACAAATGTATGAGTGAATATACATCCATAAAGGAAGAAATTTTGCTTGCCGTTCCCTAACTGAACGAGATAGGGAGCTTTAGCAGTTACTATACAAGTACGTTTACGAGCATACATGCAAGATTCATTATTCTCGCGCCAAACTCGGTGCTTTCGCCAACGCCATCTGACGAAACCCGTAGTCGTAAGCTTTTAATTACGAAATTAATCAACACACGTACTCAAAAGTTCAAAGTCTACCAGTTTTGGGTAATGGTGTAAACGGCTGTTCACACGATCCAATTTTGTTCGATCCAATTCACTTCGGACTTATGGAATATAGTTGGTTATTAATGAAGCAGTAGTGTAGCTTCAGTGAATTTTTGCTGCTCAAATACATTATTGACAATACAACAGACTATAAAACATCCGTCAGAAGTGAATTGGATCCAACAAAATTGGATCGGGTGAACAGACCTTAAGCAAACAACACGCGAGAATGATGAATCTCGTACTAATAGTTGTACTCGTAGTCACTGCTAAAGCCCTCTGATGACTGATTGAAGGAGTCGTATATAATTTCTTACAGGTATTGTATTCGAGGAGTTTTAGCAAACCGAATAATCCTTCTGACATCAAACGGCACGAAATATTACAACGAAGCAGATCACATTGTTCATTTGAAAGGAGGCAAAATCGAGGGGCAAAAAAATGACATGAAGTTTCCTGATTTCGATTTGAAGAATAAGAGCGAAAAGCAACACGAAAAAATGGCGGCGTGGAACGATTTTGACGAGCAGAAGGAAATGCGGCCGCTAAAAGTGGAGGAGGAATGGCGTGAAAGAGGAAGAGTGTCATTTAACGTTTACAAAGAGTATTTTTTGTTTGGTGCGTCAGCATTAGTATTGTTTATTATTGCTGTGGTATTCCTCTCTGGTCAAGGTAAGAAGATCGAGTTATTATATTTATTACTGCAATCTAATTGGCTGTAGCAGAGGGTATTCTACGATATCTGACCACGTCACGAGTAGTATTCGAGTCAAAGTTTGCATGTTTTTTTTTTCAAGAAATCATTTGCAAACCAATTTTAAAACAAGGACTGACCAAGGTATTTTGAATTGGAACCTTGAATCCAACTATTAAATGAAAGTGAATTTTAGTAAATTATAGAAAGAAAGTTTTGGTCGTTTTGTTTTTCACCTCTGGCTTGGCGAAATGTGACTACAGATTGAATCAAATTTTACGGTTGTTTTAGGTGAAGGATAAATATTTCATTTAGCTGTAAACAATATTTTCCCTCCAAAAAATATCTTTATATTCGGCCTTCAAGCTGGTAATTAACATTTAAATATATTCTGACAACGTGACGGCACGATATTCGAAAGATTGGCCTGATTGAGACAATATGTGTCTCTCAGTAGGCAAAAAATCATTCTTCTTTTTGATCGGAGAGCTTTTGGAAAGTCTAGAAGTTTTGTGTACACGAGTTGAACCGTATGATGACAAGTCACTTTTGACAGGTTTGATTGTTTTGGTGGACATTAGTGCTTCTCGCTTACCCACGATAGCTGGAGAAGGCGGGGAGAATTTCAATCACGCATTACTGATCTACGTGCTTTATCTCATTGCTGGTGTTGTACTGGTTGTCCTGGGTACTCTGTTCATTTTTTTGGTTTTAATGAACGCAGCTTATAAAGTTCGTATGATCAAACAATGTTTTTTCACATCTCGATGCCTCATGTGATGTTATTTAGGCGTTAACGTTTTCGGATCCATTTCAGGTCCACAACAAGATGGTCACGTGCCTCCTGAAAGCGCCAGTATCGTTCCACGCCATCAATCCGGTTGGACGAATTTTAAACCGGTTTTCTCAGGACATCAACAGCCTCGACGACCTTTTGCCATTCTACATCTTCCTGGTGTGTATCTATGCCGGGCCAACCATCGCGACGGTGTTGCTAGCTATTATCACCACACCTCTCTTAATCATTCCTGTTTTACTGGCTCTGCCTGTCTTTTATTACTTCTCAAAAGTGTATTTTACGTCTGGGACCGACATAAAACGGCTCATGTCCATCGCTGGTAGTCCTATTTATTCACATTTCTCAAACACAATGGAAGGCTTAAAAACCATCAGAGTTTATGGAAGCCAAAAAAGGTTTACAGATGAAGCGTTCAGGTGCGTAATTAATAAATGGTATTAATACTGTTATTTTGACAACCTAGAAAGACTTGTGTGTGCCAGATTTGATGGGGAGATGTTTGTTGATATTTAATAAATTCTAAATTCCAAATTAAATTATTATTAAATAATAAATTCTAAATTTTTAAAAAGTGGGGTTGTCATTATCATACCTTTCCACCGTTCACATTGAACATTTGAAACCAAACATTTTAGCATTACTCATCCAAGGCGCTATTGTGTTAGGTATAAGCACTCTGTTTGGACCCAAAAGTGTTTAAATGTTTGACATAAGCATTTTTATGCACGATAACGTAAACTTTTGTTTCTACCCACCAATGATTTTTATTACCAATAATTACAATTTACAAATATGGTTAACCATATTTAATTTTACAACTCGGCACCATGACCTTCGACATGTCCATCTTCTGCAGAAAATTTTAAATTTTTGTGCTCACATTTAGCATTTTATAAGTTACGTTCCCACGAGCAAAAATTCGCGAACAAGTCATTCATATTTTAACAATAGGTGATTTCAATAGGTTTGGGGGTTTTTGGGACACCCTGTATACTTTTTTCAGTACCTCAAAATCATCTCATGCATCGTTGAATCTCGGCTTAGCGGGATCATGTAAACAGTCCCTTAATTTATGCTCAATATTCCTCATGGGCACAACATTGAAACTTTAATTTAGTTGTGTAATTCGCTGGTTGTACAAAGTGTCCCCTCTATTGAAATCAAGCCTTTGTTAGAATCTGTCTGGCTTAATATTATGATATAAACCCTATTGAAACCAAGACGATTTATTTGAATGCCACTACTGCGTTGATCATGCATTCAAATTCCAACAAAAGCTTCATTGAAATAGGCGGAGTTTTTTGGGACACCCTGTAGAAACGTTAAGCCTACTTATTGTTCATTTCAGACGTATCGACGAACACCACAGAGCGGTGCTTTGCAGTTATGTAGCCATTCGGTGGTTTGCAAACGTTTTCAGCATTATCTGCGTTTCGCTCGCAACAGTTGTAACTCTGATGGTTGTGTTTTTAACAAAGGACTCTTTAACTGCAGGTAAGTAATTAGGGCCGCACAGATAATTTGGGATGACGACACTGCAAGCCTGGGGCCCTTTTAAGCGCCAACTCCTCTCTGAACGGCTCTGATATGGTTGATTTGTCTGAACAAGGTTGGATGAGTTATTTTGCCAGCAGGTATTTCTCGATCCTCTCACTTTAGTTCGAATGAGCACTAATTGGTAAACACTCCTTGTTTTATCTGATTACGCCACCTCTATTACCGTTTTCTAATCCAAGTACCCGATATTTGCGGAAACGAAAAAGAGTTTGTCCAAAATTTCGACTGTGCAAAGAACTCTCAAAACTCTCTGTCTTTGTTTTTTCAGCATTAGGTGCGGTAACTATACTGTATACAGTCAACACGACACAAATGATCGATTATGTTGTCCGGGTGACGAGTGACGTCAATTCACAGATGACGTCAGCGGAGCGTGTGCTAGCCTATACAAAGATTGAACCTGAGTGCGGGCAGGATGAGCCCAAAACGCCTCCTGAAAATTGGCCACATGCGGGCGAGGTTGTGTTTAAGGAGGTTTCACTTTCGTATTACAAAGGCGGTGCCGATTCTTTGAAGAACATTTCGTTTAAAATAAACTCATCGGAGAAAGTTGGAATAGCTGGGAGGACTGGTGCGGGAAAATCATCCGTAGTGGCGGCGCTTATGCGCCTCGCAGAAACCCGGGGAGAGATTATGATTGATGATGAAAATATCAAAAACTTCAATACACTTTCAACCCGCGAACATATTTCAGTAATCTCGCAAACACCGACCTTGATGAAGGGAACAGTGCGACTGAATCTAGACCCGTTACACAAACACACAGACGCAGAGTTATGGAACGTTTTAGAACGGGTAAAACTTGATTCCGTTATCAAAAATCTACACAAAAAACTCGAGTCTGAACTGAACATTGGCGACACGGGTTTTAGCGTCGGCGAAAAACAGCTGTAAATCTCGCGCGAGTTTTACTCCAAAATAATAAAATTGTGATATTTGACGAAGCGACAGGAAAGGTGGATGAAGGCACGGAGAAAGAAGTTCAACGAATAATTAATGAAGTTTTGGAAGAGTGCACGGTTATTACCATTGCTCACCGACTGAGTACAATATTAAAATGTGACAGGGTGATGGTCCTGGATCAAGGGGAACTTATAGAATTTGACCGGCCAGATGTGTTATTAAACAAACCTAATGGTTTATTAAAGCAGCTGTACGAAAATGCTAAATAAATTGACCGATTATGCTTTTTGACAATAAAGAGTGTGTAAAAAACGGAGAAAGTATTAATTCATATGGCATATCGATTAAACTTTTCGCGGGAAATGTTCTATAAAATGTGCTCCCTGCAGGTCTGACAAGGCCAGGGCTGTTTGTATGATGATCCTAGTTCAGGCTATAGCTAGTTGCCCGAATCAAACCATGATTAAACACAGCACGAAATTAATTTTAACGATGCATGATTCATGACAATCATGTACCTGTTTGGCTTCATGAAGACTACCTTTTTAATGCCCAAAACCATTCCACGCCCCTTCAAAGTGCCTATATCACTTGTGGGATCTTTACGGATTTGAATAGAGCTTGAAAAATTAGTTTATAAGTTCTACAACCTTTTTTGATATAATTAAATAGTTTCGAAAATACGTCGCTTGGGGGGACTGGGACTCAGGAATGATTTGCAAACACGCCGTCTTTTATAATGTAAACATGAAAAGTTTCACTGGCGCTATAGTTTGCGCTTTTCAAGAAAAAAAATGCAGGAACGGTGCGTTTTGTATGGCTGCAGCAACTGGGCGAGTTTTTCTTAAAATATTTTACGTTATTGGAAGATGGAAGTAAAATTACAATTGATTTTATTATGTATGACAAGAACTCGGTTCCTGAGTCCCAGGCCCCCGAGCACGAAGGAAATTTAAGCAAATCGTCATGTTTAGATGTAAATATTTCCGAAACTATTTAACTATATCAAAAAGGGTTGTAGAACTTATAAACTAATTTTTCAAGCTCTATTCAAATCCGTAAAGACCCCACAAGTGATATAGGCACTTTAATAAGTAAATATATACATAGGCTGGCGGTTTACATAATTATGCCTGTGTATATACCATGTCTGCGTTTACGTATTGCTTTTTGACGCACATGTTTAAAATTTTTTTTTCTTCTCCTATAACTCTATATCTACCACATGTCCATTGATCGAATTTTACCAAAGAAGGAAATATAAAATAAAGTGACTTGTTTGTGGTAGCTCATCTTTTTTTATTGATGAAATGTTACTACAAACCTAAAGAGAAACCTAAATTTAATTTAATCTACATCTATATTTAAACAGCTCCATTTTTTGTCCTATTTAGAGATGTTTTAGTGCATTTTTGCCGGTAAATCCTTTTTAATAGCCAATAAAATGAATACCATTCCCACCAGGAGATGATTTTTATCGTTCAAGATTCTATCAAGGCGTTCACAAAACTCTCCTGATTAGAATTTTTAGTCTTGCAGACAAGATAAGCAGCCATGCTATCTAGGGGCTCAATGTACTCTAAATTTGCTGAAAAATTCCTACGGCTATATTTAGGTTTGTGATAAACTTGCGAGCACTTTTAGCAGTCCAGTTTCATTACATCATTGCAAAAAGAGAGTAATTTAAATATATTTTCATATTTTATATATATATTTATATAACATATATTTATACTCTTTGCTTTTCAGAGATACCAATATAAACTTAGGAGACTATGTACATATTAACTCGTTTTTAAATTAATAGCCACCAACGTCATTCTACAAAAAGGACCGTTTCCATTTTCAATGTTTGTTAATTAATGAGAAACCGGTAGAGATGTAGTGGAATTATGTCTCATTTGTCGAAGTAATTCGTCCTAGATGAACAAAAGGGATTATTAATGCAGCAACGATTGAGCTAAATATCTAGGCGCCGATATGTCTTACTGAGGGATGTTTTCCACCTAGAGAAATTTTGCGCATTCGGGAATTTTTCTTCGTTTTGGAAGCAACCAGGCAAACATTGGAAAAGGAATAAAATTCTGCTCAACGTGCAAAATATCAAGGCTATAGAAGAAAAAAGGTGGGGAGGGGGGGGGGGGTGGAAAAACTATACTACAGCTGTGGGAATATCTACTGATCAGGGACAAGCCAGTTTTCCACTAGGCGGAATTTTTCGACGAACGAATTTTTCGACCGAACGAATTTTTTCGTCTGTAGCCGGTTCTCCTCTAGGCGACATTTTTCGATAGAATGGCTGGTTTTTCTTTTCAATTGTCACCGGTCAAGGGCATCCACCACGGTCGATTCCTCAGAATTGAAAAGAAAATCGAGCGAAAAATTTTGTTCGATCGAAAAATTTTGCCTATTGGAAAACGGCCTTTAGTCAGTGTATTACTGGAGCTCTAAAGTGCAATCATATTGGTAGACTTCTATATTAAAATATTTTGAATTTGAAATTAGGCCGTGTAATCTATTTTGACTTGCCCTGAATCCGCCACTGGCATGCAAAAAGTAACATCGATAGTTATGACCTTACCTTTTCTTCTGCTTCACGCTTCCAATATTCATAATTTTTCGTGAGATGACAAATGGTTTCCGGTACATGTGCAAATGCTATAGAAGAAAGTAAACTTTATCAAAAACGATTTGCTTCCTGCATGGGGAAGTATTTGACATTGGGACTAAAAAACGGTTAAAAAGGAAGATGATATTACGAGTCTTAAAACTTGAGAATATAAAACAAGAATGAACTGCCTTATACGACTTACCATCCCAAGCATCATAAAGATCGCTGACAAAATAGTCGATGAACCAGACCTAAAAATACGAACCGCACATTTATTTATTGACTGTTTGCACCGATGTAACTTCAAGATTTTTGTTAAAGCACAAATGTGAAAAGCGGATTTTTGAGTGTTTTGGTCGGGTAAAAGTGACTCTTGCGGCTAAAATATTGTTTGTTATTAAATTAGTGAAAGAAATTCACCCTGAACTTGTTCGATGACGTGAAAAACGAAGAGTGGTAGATGTAAAATGCAATAATAATATAGGCATGTAGTTAAAATCAACTAATCTGTACATAAAATACTTTAGAGGCAATTATGGACGAGTTATGACGTTTGATTCCCTTAATTTTAATCAATGGTCTATACATGCTTAATTCAACGACAACATCTACTTTACAACATGGCAACTCGGTGAGAAGAAAACTCGCTAAGAAGTTTCGTATGCCGTTGCACTTACTTGAGAGCGTGGGACATTACATGTTGCTCGGTCAAACACGGGCATCACAACTGGCAATCCGCGTTTTTTCTCCTCCTCGGTCTATAAGTAATTAGCTCATCTTAATTTTGCGTTTACACTTTACACCACAAAAATTAAGGATACCCAATTGCCCAATTTTCTCCAATTTTAAGTGGCCTGTACCAAAAATTAATGTCGGGTAAACGAGGCTTAAATATACCAGGAGCACAACCGCTGGGAATAATGGCATTGCTCCTGTAATCACAACACTAAATCTGGAGTAACAAACTCTTCGACAGCCTCTCTTCAAAAGTAACACAAATTCGTTTTCCTATGCAATATCATGCGACGTACCTGGGTAAAATATTCTTCAGCTATCCTTTTGGCCCATGTTTCACATAAAAACCTTGGTCGAGCCGGGTTAGAAATATCCGCACATTTTATCAACATCCTCTTTATTAGAGTTCTGTTTTCAGGCGTGTGTAACGATGACGTAGTTGAATCAGGGGTGCCACGACCACCCTAAATGAGGGGAACAATTCATGGCAGGGGGCCTTTTTTCAAGATTTTGTAGGGAGGGAGGGGTGAGAAGAGGGACCTTTTGTCATGATTGAGAGGAACATATAATTATACTGTATTGCATTACATATTACACTATTGTAACGGATCAGTGTAGCTGCCATCTGTATTACATAAACGTCAGCGACAATTTTTTTGAACACGTTTCGTTTTTATTATACGTTGTAACAATGAAAATATCGCATTCACTTAAGGGTGCGAACACTCAGTTATGGAGAGTTAAAAAGGCAGATTCATGAATCGAAAGTTCGTTTGATCTAAAGTAAGTTAGACGGGAACAATGAAACCAACCGTGTTCTTAGATCAAAGTATTGGTAAATCTAGGAAATTTTCTTCATAGAGGTAATTACATATAACCTAGCACTCCTAGAACAAGGATGAAATATCAAAACAATTATTATAATTGACATACCACAGGAGTGACTTCTCCTATACTGGATGTCCGTCTTTTGTTAATACTGTTCACAAATTTCGAGAGATGTTCAAAATGTCTGGTCATCTCTGTCGCCATTACCATGTCAATAATACTTTGTCTAATTGCACGATAATCATCTCTAAAAGTATCATACAGAAACAAGTTATTAGGAGAGAAGTTTCAATTAAGCATTTCCACCATGGTGAGTGTCTAACATAAGGCATTAGATATGTACAACTTCACTCTAGAAGTTGCTAAAAAGTTCAATATTAATTATTAGTTTGTAGGTGCACCAGGTATATATATTTATGTATGCAAAGGTCTCGGTTAGTTAACCTGGGCTTCACCAGTGCAATTAACTTAAATAATTAATGTAATAGGTTGAAGAAGTACTGATGAAGGTCCAGGTTAAGAGACCAAAAGCTTTGCAAAAATAAATATACGCGGTATACGTATTAACTGATAATTTTTGAAGGGATCAATTTGAATGGACTTACATTCTAAGTCCTCTAAAGATATTGGACGATTCATCTTCGGCAGTCTTTTTGAAAGACAGGGCAGCATGATGGCTTTCTAAAACAGCAATATCGTTATACAACACTGCAAGAGAGTCCGATGCATTGCAAAGAAAGGAGTTTGTAAAACCAGGATGATCAATATCATGAACAGCAGCCGCTATCAAGGCAGCAATTTCGTCCATCGGCTCAAGAGTACTCTAAAAGGAAAAAAGAAGAGTTAATAGACATGTCAATGCTGTATAAGGTCTGGTTTGCATTTTGTAATTGTCGTGAAAGAGTCGTTTTCACCGATAAGAAATCGTCCGGATGTAAATATGTTCTTATTTCTGTATTGGAACTCCCGCTTATATAGTTATATTAATTCAAACTGCAACGTGTCAACGCGCCCATACACGATCACACAGAACGGTTTATTTATTCGTCTTAGAGGAATTGCCGTATCATGCGAGCGAAATCGAATCGCGCATCGGAAAATTAGTCAGAGATTTCGGGCTGTGCACAACTCTTGGGAGACAAAACAGTGACGTAGACAAATACTGTACGGTCTCATACATGATGGGATGTCGCTAGCAAGGGGATAAAAGAAAATCTGAGATTGCTTACAGGCCAACTGTAGACCAACCAATAAATAAATGAATCTTAACAGGGAGATTTAGCACCAAAACGTAAACGTCAAAGCGGGCGTGAAAATAGCAAATAATGGCGTGATGCGCCTATATATGAACATGCCACGTAATTTATTTGCCATTTTCACGTCGCCTTTGACGTTCAGGTCCTCACATTATATACCAGTTGAGTGTAGACGAGAATCTTTTCATACCTTTACTCTCTCCTTCATTAGAAAATATGCAGTTGAATGTAGAACATCAGCGGCATGGGTTGAATTATGATACGTGTTTCGCTCATGATAATTGGACTCTATTAACTGAAGAAAGAGAAGACTTCATTAACCACAAATGATTAGACAGATTTTTGGCCTTAGACCACTTGCGCGTGACGTCACGCACCATGAGCTTTGTAACTGGCCGCCATATTGGGGGAAAAACGCGGTAAATTAACTAATCAACTGGTCTCTTGAAAAGCATCTGTCTTGATCATATGACATTCACAAATGTTGAAATGTTGAAAATTCGAGAACCAAAATATTTGCCCCCCAAAATAGCGGATGCCGCGAGCAAGTCGTCTATATGCCATGAAGATTACAGCCAAAATGCTGGTTAAAATTTTGAGCCTATATGGCAAAGAACTCGCATAATTTTACTGAGTTTCTGTGTGTTTTTTTTCAAGTAGAAATAATTCAAAAATTTATTTTCACACAAAATGTTGGAAACGCTATTTGAAAACTCACCCTTAACCAATTCATTAGACAATCTTTGGATATATGAAGGAATTGGAGAGCATTAAAACGGCTAAATATTACCATTCCGAGGTAGAACAATGGCCTACACAAAAGAAAAGAAAAGAAATCAAAACAGTTGAACATTATAATAACAATGGCCATCTGTCGTCGCACGTTTTTATAAAATAATGGCGAATTTTAGCAAACACGACGCGACGCCTAAGACGCCACGAAAATGGTGTGGACGTGGTGTAATCACAACCATAGATGGGCATATCACGCCACGTCCACGCCATTTTCGCGACGTCGTAGGCGTCATGTGGAGTTTGTTAAATTTCTCTAATATCTACATATAACAAAGATTGCGTTCAATTCCTTTAAATTGCTACACAGAAATCCTGGTGTGAACTCATCTCCCTAAAGGTACGAATGAAACAAAGTACTTACTTGTTACCAGTGATTCGTTCAAGCTCAATTATATTGTAATCCCATAATGAGTCATCGTCTAACGCTGCGAGAATTTCAGCGGGTGCTTCTGTCACATGCAGTAGAGTGTTGCGACCAGGATAGAATGATGGATCCGACCTGTGACCTAAAATAAAAAAATTGTAAGATATAATTGGAAGGTTGGTCTATTAGCGGAAATTAACCTATATGAAATTAACCTATATATAGCTCAACCAATATGACAAACCGTCATCAGAAAACGGCTAATTTCAAATAACATTTAAAATAAGATTTTTGCCACTTTCTCGCCCGCAATTTGTCTCAGTAGTTACTCTACGTTTGAAAAGAATGCACCAATCAATTCTCTCGGCCTCAGAAACCTAGCATTTGTTTTGAAAATTCGAAATGAATTTTTCTGCTTGCCGTTAGAGGTTTGCCGTAAACGTCAAGCTAAAGTTCACTAATGTATGAAGTTAAAACTACGAGAACATTACAGTTCTGACTTCTGAGCAACAATTAAATAGGGTAAACATATATAGTTGGGAATAGCCTAAAAGGTTTCCGCAAAGTTTTGTTTCAATAATAATCTAGAGTGAATGCACGGGGTTCATTTCCATGAAATCAATAATTTGAACTTGCCGCAAAGTAATAGTCTACAGTAAAACTACTCTTGTATGGCTATATACACAAGTTTCGCCCCTGAAGACAAATTTGCAAACTGGCATATGAATAGTCTTGAGGTTTTCAGATAATTTTTTTTACAGAAATGCGTTACCTACCCGTTATCAAAGATCCTCCTGACGGTCGACGATTGCCCTAACAAAAACGTAATATTAGTCATTTTGTTTGAACATTCGAACATACAGTATGAGTCTGTTTCGTATACGCCTGCCGCCGAAAAGGTCACACAATCTCTTTGTTTGCAAAGAAAATACACAACTTAGAGTTTCCCTTCAAAACTTCAAACCTGAAATGAGTTTTTAAATTAAGTTTAGGTAGACGGGAAACTACACATGGAAGATTACCATTGGCCACCCAGGAAACAATGTTCCATTGCAAGGTGTAATACATATAGATTAATATTCGCCATATACATGATGTACCATCTCGTGTTCTTAGAACTCCTCCCGAGTTCGGAGGACACGAGATGGTAGCTACATCATGTATATGGCGAATGATGGTACATCATGTATATGAGGGCTTCACGTGATAAATTATCCGCAAAATTCAAATGTATAATTGTCGAATCTATCATAAACCAATGTTGTTCGATCGCGAAATTCACGAAAAGTGATACTTTTATTCTTTCTGTAATAATTTCTCATTCAAATTCCCTTACGAATGCCTTATTTCATCGAGAGCTCTGAAATTCAAGCCCACTAAGGGTCAGGGGCCGGTTGTATCAAGCGCGTTTAGCTTAAACGGTGGATAAGTCAAAATTAAATAACGCTTTTAGATCTCTCTTGAATGAGTGGATTTGAATATTTTGCACTGAATATTTAGTTGTAAACAGTATCTTTGTATTAAGGTTAAAAACATTTAGTTTGCTTGTCGATTAAAACGATAGATTTGCCTTTCTATTTTGAACTTATCCACCGTTTAAGCTAAACGGGCTTGATACAACCGACCCCAGGTGTAAGTTAATGGTAGAACCTTGATTCTTGTGAGTGAAAAATAAGTCGATTCAAATCATTCAATATGGAGTTTACGATTCACGACGCCGCCAGCTCGACGACGCGCTTGCAAAACAAAGAAACTCCACACGCGAGACAATAGCTATGCATAATTTGTGGTCCTATGACAGCGTTGTCATTCTTACGACGCCTTCAAACGAAGCATTTTCACGGCCTCTCAATGAGATGAAAGCAGCGGCAACGTGACAGCTTAAACGCAACTGCAATATCAGCTAGATATCGGAGGTTCTTTGCACAAAACGTTTGTATGATTATTTTAGAGTCCTAGCAGCATAATCAATTTCCTGTAGCTCATTTCAAGCAAAATAATTGACTAGCGACGTCGAGCTAACCGCGTCGTAGATCGTAAACTCCCTAATATTCAGACAACGACACGCGCCTCATTATGTGCGCCTTCGTACGTTTCTTAGAAATATGCTATTAAAGGTGTAAAATGGCGACTTACCACTAAGCCATCATATGGCGTAACATCATTCTCCTCCTCGGTCTCGTTTCCTATTGAATAAAGTTCTTTCGTTTGCAATATTTCCTAAACAACAGAAATGTAGTTAGCTGGCCATCGCAAAAACAGGCTTATCCATAAAAAATATATATACAGATATACGCTATAAGCGAGCATTCCGATTATTTGAATCGTCTAGTTACTAAGTGTAAATCAATTGATTCGGTGAACTGAATGTAAACTGGAACGATAACTTACGCCGCAATCCTGAAAGCCGAATTGCAAGACTAGTGCCGAGTTAAAGGCGAATTCCTCAGACAAAAGCAATGTAAACAATAGCAATGGTACTTAATTCGGCTTGGAATTGGCTTCAAAGATGCGACCGAGTAACCGGGATATGGGAGAGTTACAAACAGTTGAGCAAGATGCGGAATAAAAATATTTGACACGAGGAAAAACTAAACAAAACAGTAGATTTGAGTTCCCTACTAACTTAGCTAATGGGGTGGAAAATTCCCTGCGAATATGTGTCATTATATGCATGAACGTATATATAATATGCTGACGTCTATCATGAATAATCAAGAAATTATGGACGTTTCAATGAATCCAAAATCGCCCCCTCCCTTTGACTTCCCTCCCTTTGACCACCCCTCCCTTTGACCCCCCCTCCCTTCACGCGTACATAAAATTTGATATAATTACAATTGCTCTTGAAAGTTTCGATGAAATGCTTGGCGAACTTCCTTCTTTAGCGGCATTAATCATATTTATTACCTTTGGGGAAAAAATAATATAAACAGTTAGTTATAGAGCTATGCCTATGCATCCTACTATCCGAATCAGAGGGTAAAAAAATACGACCCTAATAAACAATCTATCTCGATACTCATGCATATAACTTTGTACAATATATGTCACGTTAAACTTGATAACAGATCCTAAAGGCCCGTTTAAGTAGAAATCGTGAGACGATTTCGAAATGAGCAAAGACAACGATCAACGAGAGTTGAAATGGTTATTTCCCTTTTTCAAAAAAAATTGACGAAGGAACGCTAGCAGTGGATCTAATTCCGAGTCCTAACGTTTTCTACTGAACCCCCCAAACCGAAAATGAACATGCTCACATTCGCCTGAAGCGTTTTTTGCTGAAATACTTGTCCCACAACGTCAGGCTAGCTTTAAATTGAAGCTTAAGAATTACTTTTCGGTGTGAAAACATCAGGAATATGTAGCCGAAAATGAATTTTTTAAAGTACAATACAAATACACGAGAAATCATAGATCAATAATTTTCAATCGAAAGGTTTTGAAATTCTTCTACACCAAATAGGATATTTAAATAGTTCCGTTTGAGGTATGGCAAAATATTCAGTGGGCACCTGCTACTACCCCCACGCGCCATCTTGAATGTTGTATTACAGTTCACTGGTGCCGAGATTGAAGGCGAGATCGAACAAACAACTGCTCATTCATGGAACTTACTATCGTCATATATGGTTCTAGTTTTGCTGATGAAATCGATGGTCTCGGAGAGGAATCTAAAAACAGAAGAATTGTTCAATATAAGGAATCCATTTAAATACAAGAAAATCTCACACAGTATTTTATCTAGATGTAAATAAACAAACAGAAAACGCTAGAGTCATGTACATTTTACCATAATGCATTGCAGCATTAGGCATAAACGGTCGTGCAGATTTTCATGCTTCATTGTAATAATTTCTGGTGATACTGAATGGCGAAATTATTGTACACTTAATTTTAACTTGATTTGCTTAGTTATGTGTGTAACTTGATTTGCTTAGTTATGGTATATTAAAAAACAATTCATAGCGCCTGTCCTAATAAAGCAAGGAAGAAAACCTGCCATATGATCAAGTGCGAATAACCGATAAAGCCTATTTGGTTAATAAAAATATACCGTCCACTTCAATAATGGTATAAAGAAACAGAATTACGTACTGACAATCTCTTTAGGACGATTTTCACGAGGCTAAACGAAATGAAATAAAGATATGACACAAATGATACATAAAAAGAAGGTAATGTACAGCATTTCTCTCTGTTCTTAGCCTTTGCAATAATTCAATAATTCTCGCTAAGTTTTTGCTGGGGATGGGTGCAACTTTCGGTCTATTGTATATGTTATCATATTAGTATTTCCTACTCATATATGGAGATCATTGGTGATAAATGAACACAACAAACCTTCCATAAAGGCCATGTGCCAGATTTCACCTCCTGTTTTACGGCAACAAGATGAGCGATTTTCCTAGAAAACAAAACATTACATTGGAACAACAAATTCTCCCGCAGTGGGAAACTATAGAGAAGATAGGAGTGGTTTGGATGCAAATACTAATTCCGGCACTAAATCGCATATTGAATTTGGCAGGACTATTAGTATAACTTAAAGATACAGCTGGTCTAGAGCTTCCTAATGATGCCGAGAAACACCGAAAGGGCGGGTTCCTTGGGTTTAAGACAAAATTGTTAATTTATTTTATTGTCATTTCTACAATTTATATAGTTATCTAATCCAAAGTATAAATACATCACGACAACAAAACGGCAAACTAACCCTCCTCTTCCGATTACAGGAATAATTTGTAAATTTTGCTTAAATGTCTCCCCATTCTTCTTCTTACTGGGATAATCCTTCCATTCCTAAAAAAATAACAAAATATATTTAAGTAATATTTAGTTTAGAATAGGAAGATTTAGCATGAGGACGTGAACGTCAAACAGGACATAAAAATAATTGCGAATAAATGGCGTGATGCGTCTATATATGGTCGCGCCACGCCATTGATTCGTCATTTTTGCGTAGTGCTTGCAGTAGAAAATAGGGAGATTTAGCATGAGGACGTGAACGTCAAATACGACGTGAAAATGGCGGGTAAATGGCGTGGCATGTCCATATTTGGGCGCATCACGCCATTTATTCGCCATTTTCATGTCGTCTTTGACGCTCACGTCCTCGTGTTAAATCTCCCTAACGTTTCCCGATTCGAAATGTAAAGATATTAAAATAGTATGAAATATATGAATCGCACTTCGCTCGTAATAACCTTTGTTATTGTATGATATATAAACTTTTGCGCCTATATCTTTTTACAACATTTTTCGGGCTACACACAGAAAAATTGGGGGGGGGGGGTTGGATTACGAAGAAGACAAGGAATGAATGGACCATTGGTCCTAACCCAAAAGTAAAATTGGAAGAATTCATCAGAACACCTGCAAAGAGCACAGTGACCTAGCCAAAATTGTCGAGCTACTGAAAGAGTATCCAGAAATTAGTATAGACTGGAAAGTTTGGTTATAGGACGTATTAAAAAGTGTGGAAAGTATCGCTCAGGCGCCGGTTGCATAACACTCCTAACTACATTTTAAATAGTTAAATCGTAGGTAACTATAGAAAATACATCATTCTGATTGGCCAATTCTGGCATTAACTATAGTTAATAGTTAATTACATTTTTATACAACCAGTCCCTGGCCCTGGAAGTTTCCACATTTCGCACGCGAAAACCCCCCACATTTTCTAACAGTTCCCTTTCTACTAAATTTCACAACCAAAGTTTCCAATCTTAATACTAATTTTAGTATGCCCTTTCCGGCTGTATGATGATTATTTTCGTTTTAAATTTAGTGTAAATGGATAATGGTCAATTTTGTAAGCGGAAAACATGAAGGCGTTTACTCTTAAGAACGTTGTTGGTTACCTTAGTTTTGCCTTTTTCAAGTTGTGAATAAATCTGTTCATCAAGACCCTGTTGTAAACAATAACGTCATATTAGTATGGATGAAAGGTCAAGGCCATTACTCTTCTGCCTTTACGGGTATATTCCCTTGACGGGAAACCGCTCTCGGCGAGCAGTAATTCGCGAGATGTTTCTGTGCATGAAGCGGTTTATTAATGCTTCAAATTCAGAATTTTAAATAAGGCAAATCTTGATTGTCGATGAATGCCAGTTGACCGACTTAAAGTGCAATCTTGAGAAGAGTGCAAACTTAAGTTTGTTGTTAATCGTAAAGGTCAACCGTAAGTTGCTTATTGGAACGAAATCCTCTTAGCCGTGACGATACGGAAATGACAGTTTATTTCCAGCCAGCCTATCACAGGTCAATCTATCCAAGTCCAAATCAAGTAGGGGCTAACTGGTCAAAAAGGCCATTTATATGAAAGAAAACAAGTCGTGAAAACATATTTGTATGATGTCATATCTACAGCAGTATATATAGCCATATTCGTGATCCGATATAACCAAGTACAGCGTATTTGTAAAACAGCTCTGTGCTAAATATGGTCAGTATAAGTAGCGTTAGGGGTAGCATATAGTCACAGAGTTATCGTCTTTCATATTAATTGGCCTTAGTCATAACTTTATAGGACTTGTAAACAAGGTAAATCTTGTAAACCAGATTCCGAAGGTCACGGAAATTATAATCAGATCTTTAAATCTTACGCCTCTATTGAAAAAGCACACTCACAATCTGGAGTGTGACATATATATTTTGCTATTACTGATAAATGAGAAAGTTCTTTCTGAATCAATGGAATGATTTTAATGATAAAATACTGAAAATCAAGCTTTTATTTCAGTGGAAATACCGCCATGGGACGTTATAAGAAGATTGAGATCTCCCACTCAACGAGTTTGAGTGTGAGTTTGACATTACAGGCGTTAGTTTGAATTTTATGTATCGATGTTCATACTGTGTTTTGTGTACTGGTAATTCAATTTTTTTTGTACGTCGATTTGTTTGAATCTGCTCTTTAAAATAAACAATCCATACTCACGGAACCGGAATCTTTACAATTACTTGGATATGGTCCAAGTCGAGTTGTTCTTCCGATAGCATCCTTCCTTGAATAACCAGTAAGTTTTTCATACGCCAGATTAGCATACTGAAAAATTCAAAAAAGATGGAGTAAACAAACCGGCCTGAAATATAAGAAGTTAAAATGGAAATACGCGAAATTTAAGATAACCATCGTGGTCTTAAAAATGGTTTGAACTCTTTGTATAAATATGGGAGCATATTATATATACTGCAACTTTTATGTTATGCTCGACATTCAACGAATTAGGCCATTTGGTTATAAGTTAAGAATAGGTCGGCCTATTATACACACGCCATTATAAAATCTTACAACATTCATCTAATGGTGTTGCTTCTTGTTACAAATGGAAAATCGCAAATAAGTTGCAACGTGAACAATGCGTTGTAAAAATCAACTAGGCCTTGTGAAGGTAAATGTGATAATAGGCTGGGTAAAAAATAGATGTGCGAACAAAAGAGAAAGCCCCCTAGCGATTATTTTTATCAATTCCGGCCCAAAAAAATATGGGTAACAGGCGCTAAATGCTAGAGTAAAATGATATATTGTATGTGTTACTTGTGTTTGACATCAGAAGTCGGATTAGGGTGTCGGTGGTGTGATTAGCAAGTGATTTTCACGTGAAGACTCATACATTGTACTCGACCGCAATATCTATACGATCATACCTGCAATAGGCATTCTCCTCTTTCTGTATCTAACGTTGCAATTTCAATAGAATCGTGACAATGTTCAATAGCGCTGAATAAGCACGCTGCCGCCCTAAAAAACAGGGAAAATAAAATAGCATAAAACACGAATTACCTAAAAGGGGTTAATTTCATTCAAAATCCTCGTGAAATACGGAATCGTAATTACCAGGCGTTTTTTGCAAAAGGTATAACATTATTGTCCTGCAACATTACTATTTTGATTGACTGAACCACTGCGCGGGAAAATTACAAATGGAAGGAAACACTCTGATTGGCTACGAGTAATTCAATAACCCTATCAAGTGCTGCCAGTGATTAGAATGCAGCTCATAACGTACCTTATTTTTGCCTGCGATCTAATCTCGCCGCGTTCTAACATCAATAGTTCATTAAGACACTGACCAATATTATGACTTTCTGTGAATATCTAAAATACAATCAAAATGAAAGAGTGATAAAGTGTATCAGACATGAACGTTTTGGTTAATGTAATGTGTACGGACTGCTTTCCACTTACCCGTTTTTATACGCACGTACACGCACGTTAAAGGCCTATAATGCGTGAATACGATTGCTTGCGGTATAAGGCCAACCATAATTAACTAAAAGCATGGTTACCGAAAGCTACTGATGGCTCGCCCACCTTAAATATATAACACTTTTCCTTACCGATGCGAGATCGATTTACAATATCATAAAAGATGGTGGATGAAGCAAGCTCTTTATATGACATCAACCTTGTAATCCTAGTTACCTAGTATTATACTAGTTTACTAGTAAACCCAAATCTGAACAGAGAAACCAGGTATTCCATCGCCTATAAAGACGATAGGAATAACAGGGCGTCCGGGCGACTCTGTTTGCGAGATGGGAAAATCAAAATCCGGCAAAGTGATCCGGGTCTACGCCAGTCAACAATTTCGGCATGAACTGAGTGTGTCATATATTAACATAATGGATGGTGTAACATACCCTGTTAAAACCAATGTTTAGCCATGGTAGAATAGAGAGACTTTCTTCACTGCCAACACTAAAAATAGTATGCGAATGAAACATGTATATATGAGAATAAGATACACTATATCAGATATTGTAAAAAATGTTGTATACAATATCGTACAGTATGAATGTCGGAATTCCTAATGAAATTATATATAGCTCTACAGTTCAAAATATTTGGGAGATGAAACTTGAAATATCTTAGTGATTATATAGTTGACTCCGAAATATTGAGGTTCCATATTCTTATTTAAACTTGTTCAAACCAGTGGTTCAAACCCGTTAAAGATAATTGAACGTAATCCCAAAATCCTTTCCCATACACCCACATGCCCTATTCCTTCACACATGTGTGGCTGTGTTGAACCAGCTAGCTATTTCACTAAACTCACTGCTCACCTACTGTCTTCCTGATTCTCTAAACCTTTGTTACTACAAACGTCAGCATCCTCGTCTGTCTCACTGCATAGATTGTAAAACCTCCATGTTTAAACCATCGATGTTTTCACAAAAAAATTGTGTAGGGGAGGTTTTTTCAATGGGCGAACATCGTCGCATCGGGCTGTCACGAGGCACACAAAACACAGTTGGCAAGCATCGAAAGATTGTTGCAGGTAGATTGTGACTCGAAACAATTGCCCGATTTATACAAGAGACTGATAATCCGTCTGGACGAATGATCCGTCTGAGTATAAATTAACACAAGGCGAAAAATAGACTGCGAAGTATGCGGATAACTCGTCTTGACGGATGATCCGTCTGTTTGCCAGTGGTTACACACAGACGAACAACAAGACAAACTATCTTTTGCTTGAGTATAAATCGTGTCAATGTTTCATAGTTTGCCCCCAGGTTCAAAGGTTCTATTTATATTATGATTCAACTCACTAAAAATGCGTTTTAATTTCAAACATTTGTAGCTATCGCAAATAGTATTCAATAGCTAGTGACTGAAAAAAAAATTTGGACGTAATCCGGGGAAAGTACATAATACGTGTGCACACTTAGCAACTCAAATGATTTATTTAAAATAATTCACACTCTCTGATTCGCTAACAGCCATGTGTGAAATCGTCTTGTCCAAGTCGAGTGACGTCAGAACGTGGGATACGACTTTTTTCATGCACTCGATAACTAACGTCATAACGTGTGATCTTTTAAACTTTTAATGTCTATTCTTTTAAATAAATAATAAACAAATATTGAATTCAGTTTTCGTATGATGTGAAAAATTATCAGTCTCAGTTTGATGCTATCAACCACGGTCTTTGATAATTGTTTATATCACGTTTAACCTCATTCAATAATTGCTAATTACCAAAAGGACAACAAAACAATGTTGACCAAAAAGAAAAAAATTTGGCAACGAAATCTATCACGAAATAGATTACAAGAAATCTATCTCGAAATAGATTACAAGAAATCTATCAAAACATTCCAAGACATTCATATAGAAATATCAAAATGAGTTTGCAGTTTTTAAAAAGAGAATCTAAGTTTTTGTAGTAACATGTAGTAACGTTATGTTATATTGTCTAACCTTGGTTTCGTTACTCCGACTAGCACAGCATTTTCACCAGGTCCTATTTCCCGTATTTTTCTAAAAACAAACAAGAACAATCATTTCATTACTGATTATGAGGAGTGATTACAAGGGTCACTCTAATTCGACGTATGAATTTAGCTCAATCAAGAGTCATGTTTAAGTCGAAAACATGGTTCATGTTTCCAAAAGAGCTCACCTGCATAATTCTTGACCATTAATACTTTGTGGACATCGTAAATCTATGATAACAAGCTAAAAAACAACAAAGTATTAACACGTGTTTCGCGGGAGTGTTAATAGTGATTTTAAATTGCGCGATACAGACAACAGACTACGGTGGTGAAGCATTTTCACAACTAGAACGAGGGAACCGGGTTGTCCCTAGTGTCACTGTCCTCGGCCAGGGCAGTTCGCAGTCGGCCAGTTTGCTCTTGCACGTGCGAGGTCCACAAAACAACATATTGTTATAAAAGTGCTGTGTATTTTAAATGTGATTGGTTCATTCGTAGTCACATGACTTTAAAAAAATGCAATGTTTCCCGCAACGGAAACACGTGAAAAATTGTTGTCCACTTCTTGTCATAACAAAGTATAAAGTGTTTTTTTTTTAAATGAAATTGTTGTGTATGTTTTTGTTCCTATACAACCAAACACTTAATGTGCACTACCACGGGAAATAGTGAGTTTTGTTTTCCCTCAAGCCCCAATGTTTCCCTCGACTTCGTTTCGGGAAACATTCAGACTCTTGGGAAAACAAAACTCACTGTTTTCCTCGGGAGCATACATTAAGTGCTGTATATAATATATATATCCTCATAGCAAAAATTTGAAAGTTTCGTTTCTCTCCTTAAATAGCCTGAACATCAAGTCGAAAAAATAATCTCTGCGAGAATATTCTCCAGATTGTTCTCTTCAACAATGAAGATTTGATGATCGCAATGAATTTAAATTTAGTGAAAAAAGCACTGAGCATCTGAAGACTACATGTACCGATTATTCACGTGAATACATGATCTGAATTGAGTGAATCCAAGTTTAATTATTGGTTTTTCCAACTTAAATACATCGCAATTTCGACTGGTGGGCATCATACAATATCAAATAATTTTTCTTCATCGTCAGTACCTAGTGTTTGCACAACTTAACATTTCAATTTCGATCAACATCATACTCGATTCAGGGAAACACGCCGTACACCGTAGTGCGGTTGTCCGCAGTCGCGAATTGACAAAAACATTCGCGAATATTTCAACAGGAAATTTTAAGAGATATCATTCGTCCACAAAATACACACAACGATCGATGTTTACGTCAGGGGCTGGTCAGGGGAAGGTAGATAACTTATCCAAACTATGAATCCTATTCAAAGGGCAAATCTGCTATCCAGTGGATAAAAACGCGTTACACGAAGCATAGGAGGTGGAGTGGTTAGCCTTCTAACAGGAAAAGGATTTCGAATAAAGTTTTTATGGAAGCTTCGTGTAACGCAAATAAGGCTAGGTAAAAGTTATCGATTATCGGTTATCCAGCCTTCGAATGGTATACCACCCCAGGGAGCTAGACCTTGGCTTTTACACAAAGCTTCATTTCAAAACAAATACCTCAGGGTGCGAATGAAGAAAATATTCCAATGCACTCTCCATTGTTGTACACAACTTGGTATGGTAAGAAACTCTGTGGGCAGCCAATAAGAATGCGCTGCTTTGTGGATCTTCATTTGGAAACACGAGCAATATCTTAAAAGATAGTTTACAGGTAAGAATCACGTAAGAAACTGTGATTATTTACAGTAAACAATACAGAAATGCTGCATGGGTACGATGACAATTGTCAGATTTTCCAAGTACTAATCCCACTATATAGGGTGTTTGTATATGGTTCATACGTGATTGAGAACATCAGGCATTATAATACGGAATTTTTACAGGACACACTTGTCTTTAGGTTCAATAATCACTTAATCTTAGAAATTACACGTGAAATTACACGTAAGCATATAAAAAGAGCATAGCCTGCAAAGCAAACTTTATATAGAAACAATAATTATTTTAAATAGTCAAATTAAAATTATATTAGACATTTTTGTCCTTGGCATGATTTTTAACTCACACTTTTCCATTTACAGGACACATTCGCCTTTCACAAGGACACAAAGTGTGTCAAAAACACGCGTATTATAATGCCTGGAGAACATTCTGAAACGAAATATGTCCTTCTCGATTTCATTCCTCTTCAAGTTTGAAATCCAATGGCTTTCTGCAGTTTGTTTTAACCGTGAACGCACTTACACTACACATTTTGGATCAAAGTGTAACCTGTGAAAAAATACTGGCTACACATTAACTTGGAAAATCTCAAGTCCTAATTGGTAGCAGACATTGAATCACTGTGCAGGGGTTTACTAATATTGATCTAAGTTAACAGTGAATAATTAGAATGTGGTTTCGTTCGCAAGTTATCATAGAAGATTTTGACACCATCCATGGAATCAAAATTTTTTTACGAAAGAAAATATAAATTTTAATATGCTGATAATTAGACTTTCGGTGTGACACCAGTGGTTGCCCTTAATTTGCTTTTTTAAAGGATTTTTCACAAGACTGCATTCTAGCAAATTGCAACCTGCCAATTTTTTCTTAGAATAGCTTACTGCTCAGTAAGGAATTTTTATTGAATATTTTAGGTCCTGTTTATATGGAACAGGTCATTACAGCTAGGCCAGGTAAAAAGCAAATCAGATCAAATGCTCAACCAGATTAGTCTTTCATTATGCAGTTTTTACCTCGACTAGCCAGGATAAATTGCTCAATATAATTATAATCATGGGCTTAGTTGCACCAAAGTCCTGGTGTCAATAGTGACTACAGGAACAAGTGCCCTAACAAAATGTATATTTATTGAAAAAACAGGGGTTGGAAAAATTATGTCAAATAATCATCGGGTAAACAAGCTAGAGATATATTGAAGTTACAATAATCAAATGAATTATTGCCAAACATTAGGCACTGTTTAGGCATTTTAGAGGTTGCCATTCAGAATGACAAACCTTAAACTCCAAGCAAACAAGGATATTGTATAATTTTATTCACTGACTTAGAAACAGGCTTTGCAAGAATCCAGAGGAGCGTTTGCAGAAGAAAACATATTTGTCACACACTTTTAATACTGGGATATTTGGATTTATAGCAATATCTTCAAACACAATTATTGTATGAAGGTGGAAACATGGGAGATGATATACCAAATTGTCATATTGCTTGATAACTATTGTTTCATATGTATATATAGACTGCAGTCGATTTCACAAATTCAGCTTAAACCCAAATTTAACCAGATAGAAATTTGGTATTTGTATACTAACAACTAAACAAATAAATTGTAAGTAACAAGAAAAGATTGACGATAATGAACAGTATTGAAATGTGTAAACTTAAGAAGAATTGTTAATTAAATATGGAAAATGTGGTAATTGTTTTTATTTTGATAATTTCACTGTGATAATTCTTTTGACAATAATCATGAGTTCATTCTTTAATATCACCAAAATACTGTAGATGGGATTGTATCATTCCTTGCAGACTCAGAAATGGAAATTTAATGTTTTGGGAGGATTTAGAAGTCTGACTGAATAAGCAAAACAAATTTCCTTTAAGTATTCCATGTAAAAAAATCCTACTTTTAGCCCTTAACTAGGTTAAAGGGCAGAGTTCATGTCCTCAAGGCCTGTTCAAACTTGCATTTTTGGCTTCAGTTGATTACACAGCAATGGATTAGGCTCTCTAATATCCTTTGCTATTCAAGATAATTTAAAATATGAGCTAAAAGGACAATGGCTCTTTCCATATATGCAAATGGACAAGTAATTTTGAAAGCTCTTGTGGATAAATGATGTTTAAAAGATGGAAATATAATCTAAAATCACAGCAATAAAGTATAAATGGGCATTTACATTAAGCCAATTAGCTTAATGTAAGTAATGGCAGTCACTTAATTTCTACCACCCATCTATTGCCGTTGTAGGCAAGGGAATTTATAATGTGGACCATAGTAGACGCATGCTCAAAGTTGGAATCAAATCACAGTACATTTGTGCCAATCAAAGGTGAAGAGCTTTGAGAAAAAATCTGCTTGAGTTAAACCTTGATAATCTTCAAGACATGTTTCTGTTCATTCATTTGTTGGGACAATATCAGTAGTTTTAATGCTCTTAAAATATGTCAACAATTGCTGGAAAATCACTGTCTGGAAGATAGTGCTCCCAAACGGTCATTAGTGATGTACCGATATCTGTATGAGTATCAGCACTTAAATGGAAATTTCGGTATCGGTAAATATGTCACTAATACGACTGATATCCGCACATCTTAATTGCCATGATTAAAGTTCTTAATTTGCAAGTACTGAAATCAAGTGTGAAAACAATGCACATCTTGTTTCTAAATTGTTTCAGCAAATGGATTTATTCTAAAAAATGGCTAGTTACGAAAATAAATGCAGTTAAATTCAGTTGTCATGATGCCGTCACTGAAATTTTAGAAATTTTTTAGAAAGTATAAAATATAATATTGCTATCAGTGTCAGCCAAGTATCGGCCCTTGAACATCAGTTATTGAAGTTCCTGTGAATTTCTATATTGGTGCATCACTATAAATGCTTCTACAACAGGCCCCAGGCAGCTAGGTTGACATAATTGTGCATCTCAGGTGCCGAACACATTAACAGCAACAGATAACAAAACAACTGATTAGCCATTGTTTTTAATGCATTCCGCACAAGAGAAGCATAATGCTTGCAATAGGCCCTAGCAAACCAATGCTAAATTCCAACATTTGTACAAAGTGTTTTAATATTCTATTGTGGCATCTACCCAGATGGGTTTCAGCAACAATTTCTTGTACAATGGCTTCAAAGGACAAACTTCAGTTGCAACCTAAACATTCAAAGTCACTTTGAATGAGCCTTACCTAAAATGGGCATGCAGGTTTAGCTTGTCATGTAAGTATAAAATATAAAAACCTTTCCAATTTGTGTGATTATAGTAAAGCTTTGAAACAAGGGCTTGTTTATTTGTTTAATGAAAGTATATGGGCCAACTGTATGCTTTTGGGCATGACAATGCAGTACAGCGAGATAAATAGAGGAACAAACGCTACTATTGCTGCCATTGCATACAGTATAAATGGGCCTTAAACCGCATGAACTCACTATATAGTGGTATTAAAATTAGGTGAAGTCCAAACGGCCGTTTTAAATGCTAAATGCTCAATGTTTACTAGACCTTTCACACCAGAAAATCTATCTGTAAACAAAATTTAAGCGAGGGATATCAATGCTTAGAAAATATTTGAAACGTCAAATGTTTCAAACTGAGACATATTTTTATTGTTTCGCCGAAGCCAAGGTATATTACAAACCAAACGTTTACATGATGGGATTCCATGATGCGACAGAAACGCGTAAGAAAAGGACAAGTTATTTTCCCTGTGAGACATCGCAAAAATGAAGGCCCAAAGCTATTAATCCGAACCAACAAATGGCATAATTAAGTGATCAGCGTAGAAACGTTGCAGAATTTTTAACAAAAAGATTTGCAAGCGACACGGTCGGCGATCATCCATACACACAAACAAGAAATTATATGTTTTGCACAAATAAAGGGGAGTTAATATGAACAAAGACGGCGATATCTTCGGTACAATTTGCTCGTTAGCCGCCAGACGAGCTGCAAACAGTGGAACATACTTTAAATATCCACTAGTTCATGGAGTATTCAACGCAGCGATAAATAAAAACCTATTCAAAGCGAATCTCTTACCGACATTGGGTTTTGAAATAGTTTCATTGGTCCAAATGTGAATTCTTTTCTTTCTTCCTGTTTGGGACAAAATAAAGAAGCATGAGATGCGATAAAAAGCGACTAGAATATAAGCGTAATGTGAAAAGCAATGACTGGGATCCAAGCTGGCCCATCCATAATAAAGCAAAAATTTAGGCCATTTATGACATTCGTACATACGAACCTGCGAAATTTCTTCCATCTTGCGTAAATCGAAACTTTGTGTGTCCGTTTCAACGGACTTGCGTTTGTCTAAACTGGGAAACCGACCTCTTGTAATACGAACTGTCGATGTGATTGTTCCCGGCTCTGAATGGATATGGTTGATCACTTCACTCAAAGACGAAGCCCTTGCTCCCGAACTTGGTTCTCTTATTTCTTCACGACAATAAACAATTCCTGATTGTGAAACGTGAATACTAGGAGCACATCCCATTAGGTATGTACGAATAGTTAACAATTATTGCCGCAGCAGATCGCCGCTATACTTCTGCCAACGCGACACGACTTGCTGTATTTACACCATCCACACAGAATGCGAGCAATTCACAAATATACAATTTTCCACCGCTTCGACCAGAAGCTCAAAGGCCAAAAGACTTCTTGACCGTCGCAAGTATCGATCGGCGAAGAAAATTAGGATATTCAAGTATTTATTCTACCGCCATTACTCTCAAAGGCAAAAGATCTATTGCCAATGTTCGCCATCATTACGACTCTTTGAAATCATTTGTAAATCGAGAGAATCGATGCGGCCAGCGAAAATACTTCGGAAAGGCTCGCTGTTATGGGAACAGTGTGGAAGTGATGTCAGAATGAACCGGAGCACGTCAGCCAATCAAATGATGCAAGCTCCTCAGGGGGCCCAATTACGGTGTAAGTAACAAACCTTTAAATGCCCAGTAAATGTCTGTTTGTCTACGTTTTCCAGAAGCTTTTTCTTGTTTCTATATTGTGTACTCACTTTTCTAGAACAAGGAACTTTAGCGTAAAGTTTTCTCACCCCGCGCTTAGTCGCTCATGCAATCTAATATGATGAATACGGTGTAATGTGAGGTGTAATGCGATGTGAACGAATTAATTTAACATGCATGGTATACGGGTAATAATAGCAAATTTTGTTTGGTCAACCTCGGGGCTCGGAGGCGCTTGTTTTATATCAATAATTTTCAAGAGTTTATTTGTAGAATGTGATTATTGTAAACGCAATGGCATCGAATTCGTGTCAAAAACTTACTCGGATGTCTTGCGTAATAAACTGTTAGAAATTAGATTATTAAGAAGCAAACCGTTCAGAAATCAGAAAAACATAATTTTTCTGCGCTGACTTGCTAAAATGAGTTAGATCTTAGAGGGTTAATCCTAACCCTAATCGCTAATCCTTGACGTAATCCGTGAGCTCAACATTGCCTGAAGCAAGTGAGCTCAAGCAACAATAGCGAGCGCCATCTTGCCGCGGTGAACGCCAAGAGAGTTCGACGTGTTCTTTCGAAATTATAGCCCAAATTTATTGTTTTAAGCACTTTCTTCAGGACAATGGAGAATTTGAAGCATCAATAAATTTTATGCACACGACGTCCACGTTGCAATTGCATTATTGACTTTTGTCATGTCTAACCATGCATACTAATTAAGTTTTTAAGTTAAACATAAATTGGCGTCCATGTCATTGAAAAAAAATTAATTTTCATAATCTTTTTGTGCAATTACTTAGTTCCAAATATTTGTATTTTTCGAATAATTGTCATCTAAACATTGAATTTAGTGTAATGAATTTAGCGTAACTCCTCCGACGGCGCAAAAGAGATTGGGGCGAAGCAATGTATATGACATCACAATAGGAACTCCTCGGACCCTGGGCTCCATTGTTCAAAAGCCGGTTAGCTTAACCGGTTTAAAAATTTGTACCAAATAATTAATGAAATAACTCACTGTCAATGAGCGTCACATTTGCCTCACATATTTTCAGCAAATTCTCTAAAACTAAGGATTTGCCGTTTGAAAATTCCAACTGGCAAATGTGATCCGAGAAACTTTGACAGTGTAAACTGTCTGCTGAATTTGTTTCTGCTCAATTTCAATTCTTATAATGAAATAGTGAGTGACCTATTATTGCCCTTTTATTCAAAACCTTTGATGCGAACGTGCTATTCGTCGTTCTCTCGTGTCGTTTGCTTGAGTGCGAGTTCCTTGATTATTTGGGCTAACCCGTACCAATCGATAGGCCATGTCTGATTGGTTGACTCTAAATGATCAATTAACCAGTGGTTGTATTAATTAGTAATTGTACTTAGTAATTTTACTTTACTGAATTTAACAATTTGTCATATTAGATTGCATAATTCCGCCTGGAGATTTTAATTAAACCCCGGTCCCCGGGAATGCAAATGTGAAATTGAAGTTGTCCGCAATTATGTCAAGGAGAAAGGAGGACATTGGCCGTTTTTGTAGATCCTGCGCATGCGTAAGTTTAAGAGAAGAAACTGGTAACTAGCAAACGTTTGCAAACGTGCGATTGGCTAGATTAGAATTTTGGTTCGCGTCACCATAACTGATAATTTGAATTTTAAAACTTTTTTGAAATAATATATTCGAAGTGGCTAGATAGCCAGCAGCTGGGTATTTAATTTCTGGTCTAATTTACCGGCAGTTACACTCAGCGTTGTTCTTGTTAGGGTTAGGATTGCATTCTATACCATACGTAGAACTCTAGAAGTGCAACCAACAATTGTAAAGAATTTTTCGACAAATACCTGGGCACTAAAATCATCTTGAAAGAGAAAGCACGATGAAACTAAGTTCATTAGATAGTGTTTTACAAACACTCTCCAGTATGCGCCGCTACAGAAGTGTCCTTCAGTCACGACAATCGGCCAAACAAATAACCTGACACCTTTGAAATTCAAATTGGCTGTAATGACAATGTGTCTGTAATCGGCTGTAATGAGACAGAAGTTGCCTGAAATATCTTATGGGTATACGAAGCATATCAAATAAGTGAACCCATTAATTAACCCTGAACATAAAGTTTGTTCCCTTTGGGAGTTAAAATGCATTCTAAGCTCTGTAATAAAAAAGAACGTGGAATTAGTTCAATTGGTTTAAACACTTTCGCACTAATTGTACACAATGGGAATTGTCAAATTCCAGCCATAAGTTCGCGGCTAATTTGAATTTCAAAGGTGTCAGTTTTTTTTACTCTGTACATGTACAGTAGATGTCATGACATAGCAATAGAATAAGAAAATTGGACACATTCCTTATTGCTCCGGCGCAAGCGACGGAGTTGAAAATTCGCCCGGTTTTGTTTTGTTTTTGTTTTTTTTCTTATTTTTCGTCGTCGCAAGTCTGAAATGGCGCGAAACATTCTAGTATTTGAAATGTGTATGTGACCCATCCTCGTCCCCAGGGCCTAGCCCCGTTGCTCCGCCCTTGGGACGAGGATGTATGTGACCGTATTTATCTACGTCCCAGTCTTATCTCCCAAGAGTTGTGGTGTACAGCTTTGGCTCATTTTGTGATGCGCGATTCGATTTCGCTCGCATGATACGGCAATTCCTCCAAGAGGAACAAATAAACCTTTCTTTTCATGCTGTTTGATTAAGTTCAGATTGAATTGGGGTAAGAATATATTTAATACAAGTAGATTCTGGTCCTATTTTACTAATATCGCTGCTATTTCGCCGTTTAACAAGATACATCCTCTTGTATGGGCCGTTGACACGTCGTAGTTTGGACAGGATTGAAGATTTATTAAATACATAAGCGCGAATTCCAAAGACAAAGTGTAAGACAAAGCGAATGTATTATGCGGTTTATTTACATTTTTGAACAATTGAACTTCTATACTTTTTAAAGTATGATGTGCTTCTGAATTTCGCGATCGAACATTTAGGTTCGCAAGGCATCTAAATGCGATTATGAACTGTATTGTTTATGTTCAAAAGCTCTATATTAAGCCTCGTACCCAGGCGCTTTAATTGTAAAAAATAATGTTGCATTCAGTTATTGTATAGAGGTCAGCTAAGAAAGACGCGAGCGCGCGGGGGTGCTTGGGGTGGTTTTGCCAAATTTAGCGCCTGGCAGAAAATGAATTCAACATGGAAACAATCAAATAAATTATACAATATAATACAATAGAATATAATCATATACTATAATTACTTGAATTAGATCCAGGGTTTTCACAGATACACCGGTTTTTAAAAATGTTATAGGTTGATTAATATTGAACATTTCATGTTACAAATTATATCCGATAAGTATCACGTATGGAATCAACTTACTTTTAAACTCAAGTTGTTGCCATATCGCGTTGAATACATCCTCGGATTATTAAACCTGTAAACAAAGGAATATAAGTTTATCTTTTATGTCATGGACAGAAACCTCTTTAAAATATGTTGAAATGCGCTCGATTTTCCCAATAGCATATATGTAAATACGGCAGGCAATTATTCGAGTGCTCTACGATCATAGATAGTCACTCCGACGGAAAATATTTAAATAATAAAATAAAAATTACCTTCAAATGATTCTTCGCCAAAGGAAACGTTCATAATACTTGGCTAGCCCGTCGACAGTCGATTCATTAAAAAAATTATAAATAATGAAAATAAAAACTGCAAAATACAAGCGTTTTCCAGAAATCGGTCACAATTTGCCAGAAATCGGTCATTTTCTGCCAGGCGCTTTCTCGCTAAAACAAACCTCCCCAAGCACCCTTGCGCGCTTGGTTTTTTCAGCTGAACTCTATACAATACCTGGATGCAACGTTATTTTTACTATAAAAGCGCCTGGGTACGAGCCTGCTCTATATTAAAGACTGGCACGTGCGCCGGAGTTAACGCCAGAACAGGCGTCTTGTTCTGTGACATCACCCTGCTAGAACATGTCGCCCTGACCTGGTTCTGGTTGGAAAGGAACAAATTAGGTTCAAAGAAGACCATATCCTTCAGGATTTCGTTCATTATATGCTTTTCTACCTTTATTTCCGCTTCTTGTCCAGATTTAAAATGAGTCTATAACGGATAAAATCCGTTGTTGTTAAAATTTAAATATTTCACGGCATGAACATGACTCATCCGAGGCTATGACCAGTGATCTGAAATAAGTGGCTATGAGTCTATGACGCGAGATACAACATAACGAGTGCAAAAATGTAGGTTTTTTTCCTGGTAATTTTCCAGGTAACATGTGTGGTAAGAAAATATACTGACTTGCATTTGGAGAAACGGCCCCAAAAGCGAAAGAACCAAGACTTGCAGTATAAGGTATAGAAAGAGACTGCAGCTAGCATGGCTATATATGCGAAATGAAACTTTTAATAGTTTAATTCCATTATTTGCCATTTAGATAATTAGCTAATAATACCGCCATGGAAACAAGCATAAGTCTATTCGCGCACACTTCATTATAGAAAGTGTACAGAATATGGCCATATGCATGTTGAGACTGTAGGAAAGATCACTGAGAATATCAAAAATTGTCCTACATTCTTTGGGCATTTCATCAGGCTTTCGTTGCGGGTTTTTTCCTTTTGCACAAATCAAATCAACGGTGAATACATTTTAATGATGAAGCGAAACAAGGTTACTGATTCCCTACCACTGCATGTGGCTTGTTAAAACAAACTTGCCCAACTCAACGAAGACTTTGGTCCGATGATTAGGTCCGAACTCGAGATTGTCCTGAAACCTAGACGAAGTACTTACATATGTATATATATATATATATATATATATATATATATATATATATATATATATATATATAAACAATTATTAAGAAATTCTTCGT